CCCTGCTGCTCTCCGCCCCCGTTCACAGCGCGCGCAAACAACCCCCTCCATTCCGTGCAAGTCGCTGCTGACAGGCGTGTGGTGACCGCCAGAGGGACCCTTTGCGCTGTGGCACCTTGAAGCACCTCACGTTTTAAAGGGTCATTTACGGCCAGGCCTACACAACAGGATACTGCGGAACATCATCTCCTAAGCCTTCACCGAAGGACTCTTACCGGTAAAGCCGGGCTTACAGCTACAGATGTAGCCCTCGGCCTTGTCGTAGCTGAAGGCCGGCGGCAGGCCTGGGACGAAAAAAAAGCGCTCCACGCAGTCACCCCCGGGGAGGCAGGGGCTGCTGCTGCACTCCCCGATGTCCTCCTCGCAGCGGGAACCCGCGTAGCCTGCGGAGAGACGCGAGGAGAAGGCGTTTAATTGACGCGCTAGCCGTTCATTCCAGACCTGGAAATATTATTGTGAATATTAGATGTGCTTGGTTTCAGGCTCTGTCACGTGCTAAAAGATTTCCTCTGCTTCTTCAAGGTGCGAACGTTTCCTTGCAGCTCTGTCAGGGCTCAGCAGCAGGACATCGCTGCGGCTATTCTGCATTAGCTGGCTGTGCTCTACAGACTTTGGTGTTTTTTAGGAAGTAAGGCGGAGATCTGTGTGGATAACAAGGTGCTGCATTGTGGTGAGATACACTCTCAGGTTGTGTGAAGTTTTCCTTTTGCATCACCTCCCTATGACAGAGGAGGACAGGGAGTATAAATTATGTGGTGTTTGTAAAGTGCTTTATCTGGAGTTTGAAGCGCCACAAAACTCCCCGATTTCTGGAAAACGCTAAGGGCTCTGTCCAATCTTTCCATTTCTAATACACCAAGAACCACGTGGTCCAACAACACTGTGGCATTTGCTCCTCACAGTGCTCTGTGCTCTTGTGTCCTCGGTAAGACACAGATGTTAAACTTTCTAGAGAGACTTCTTGTAGTTAGTCCGTGTGCTGAAAGAGTCACAGAGTCTCTCGAAGAACACAGTGCCTGTGTCCCTACGGGGGCTGTGGGAGCCTTTCTGCAAATGGCTGGATATGCAAGCAGTGCTGGTAGAGGAGAACACAGCCCAGTGCTTTTCACCCCACACTGCTAGACAGAAGAACTTGCATTGGTGATATGAAGGAGACCAGTTTCCCAATGTAACACCTAGTTTTATTTATAAACAGACAATATTTTGCATTGAAAAGTAAGTTTTTTAGACTGATTTAAAGGTCGTGTTAATGAAGAGTAAAAAAGGGTCAGCTGCAGCAGTGATTCATTTATGTACTGCATGGGTTGAAGGATTAAGCAACTGGCAAATGGATTCCAACTTTGATTTATCTCCTGACTCTACTCCATAATACTGGCACTTTTGTTTTTGCCAACTTCTGCTGTGCAGGGAAATCCTCAGCTGCAAAAGAGAGCAGCTTACCCATAGGGCTCTGACTAATGATGAGGAGTGAAGCCCATCTAAACACAAGCCCATAGAGTATCTTTAAGGTTATATAGCTTCAACGTTTTATTGTATCAGCAAAAAAATGAGGACATACCTACTACACAAGGAAAGAGAGTGTTTACAGGAGAACTTAGATCTTACCTGGCCAACAGTGGCACGTGTAATTGTCAGCGCTGTCCTCACAAGTGCCGTTATTGTAGCATGGTTGTGACCAACATAAGGGAGTTAGGGTCTCACAGTGTACGCCCATAAATCCAGTACCGGTACAGTTGCAGCTGTACCTGCAACACAGAATGCAATGTTCACTCTAGCTGGAAGTCCAGAGATCTGGGCTTTGTTCCCAGCCGTTGGGAACTAACAATGAGCTTTTTCCTGAAATACGTGGTTTTGTCTGGGGGAAAAAACTGCTTGTGGAATCAAACTGGTTTTGGCAGATCATTTCTTCTAAGAATTATTGATCTTTTTTTTTTCTTCTTTTTTTTAATTTTGGGGGAAAAAAGTTACTGTCATTTCCAATGCAATTTTTGTAGGCTTAACATTGTTCACAAAATGAAAAGGGGAGAGGCAGTAAATGTGTTAGTATCCCTTTCTCTTGGACTGGTAGAAATTGAATTGGCCAAAAAATAAGGCAATTTCTGTTCCTTGACTAAGTGATATCTTTTCTTTGATGAAAAATAATATTTTTTGTTGTTAGGTTAGTACAAAAATGTCAATTGCTTGCATAGTTCCAATCATAACAGTAACAGGAACTTCATTTTGATAGCAATGTTACTATTAAGGGTTTAGAAGTAAACAAACTAGTATATATAAATTAACAATATGCAGGTAATCAATAATGTCTGGGGGTTTTTTGTTTGTGGTTTTTTCCAAGTGAGCTAATTATTATAAAATACGTAACTCCTATGCTTAGGTCAAAAGGTATAAGGTCAACTTGCACGTGTCATAAGAAAAGACAGGCCTTTGCAAGATAACTGTGTTAAATGTACATGCTTGGATGATCTTTGTCTAATCATAATTATCAGAAACAAAAATTTATTCTTATATTCTTTTATTTTACATTAAAATGATACACTGGTTGTTTTACAATTGAAATCATGGAGAATCTTGCCGAACAAGAGGTAAGTGTACTTATTTGATAATTTCTGTGCTTAATATCTAAGTCTTAGACTTGGAGTAAATATATGGAGAGAAAGTGAAATTGTTGAACATAAGGGAGTATCAGAGAACAACTGGCTCCTGCAGTCTAACAAACCAAAAAGCGTAAACTTTTTACTACACTATTTAAGCGTACGTAAGCAGAAACTTCTGGCAGGCCAGTTTATTACTAGTCTATGGATTATTCTTAAATCAAAATCAGAGGTGCCTTGGACCAGGTGGCATTTGAATTTAGGATATAAAAAGTAATGAAGATGTGAATCAGAAAAATAATTTTCCTTCCGAGGTATGTTCTCAAAACAGAAGTCTCTTTCTTTCGCTTTTTCACACGTTTCCTCCATGTGCCTTCAGTTTGGTTCTGTTCAGCTTTGCTGCCTTAGTCCACGCTCCTTTTTCCCTTTGGTCCAGAATGAAGGAGCAGTGAGGAATATTCACAACTCACTGCTTAATGTGAAGCCCCACCTGTATGCCTTTTTTCTCAGATATTTTTAAGTGATGTTGCTGTCGACCTTCAGGGATTCTGGAGGATACCCTGCTTGTGGGCAGGCAGATGGCTTTTTCTATTAAGAGTGATACTCTTAGATACTCTACCTAACATATTTTTTGGGCTTCTTGTTTGATGTTCTCACAATATGCAGAAAGCAATAAGTGCAGATGTTCTTTCCTGTGCAATCAAAAGAGCATTGAAGGTCCTGGGAATATTTCCTACTGAAAAAAGGCTTGGAGCATGCAGAGGTATCCTCTGTGACTGCACACACCAGGTTCTGTAGGTCCAACTAAGGCACCTTTGTAAATCATTGAATTTAAATAAGAAATGTGCAATAACGTGAAACTGGTTTTTTAAGAGAACAAGTTCTACTTTGTTGCATTCATGAAACCTCACTGGAAGAATTGGTCTGAAATTTGGGAGAGAATTTGGCTCAGTGTTTGTATTTACGGCTTTAAATGCTAAACTTGTCGCCTTGCACATTTCTGTGAGAGCTGGTGGCACGCACAAAAGTCTCAGCTGTACTGTAGTGTTAGTTAGTTAGTTAGAAAAGGAAAACTGCTGTTAAAGACTACAATTCTTCTTTTAACCCAAAAAATACACAAAAGGAAGGAAATTGCAAGACATCCTTCTGTTTTGAATTGCTTTGTTGTCCAACCCTTTTCATCATTTAACAAACGTGGAAAAAGCTCCAATTGTTCTCCAGGTATCCTGCAGTATTACAAGCCAATTAAAATTGCTCTTACATGTACCTCAGCTTTAAAAGCTAGGAGAAAAACGAGTAGGATTAAGTCTGGTCTGAACGAGCATCCCAGTTGCTCACCTCATGCGAGTATCCTCAAAAGGCTTTCAGGTTACTGAGTGGGTCTGCTGTGAACTAGTTGGGTGCAAGGTGACCTCCCTCTCCCTGCTGTCATGCTTTAGCTACACTGGAAAATAGTAAATTGCTTTGTCCTGTTCAGAGTCATTCAGCGCTGCCAAAAAGGAGCTCCACAAGGTTGGTGCCATGTCACCACACTGTACAAAGCTCATTCCCAGAACATGATCTCTTCCCCCTCTCGTTCAAGACAAGCATGCCTTTCGCTGACTTGATTTTTGGACTGATGTTTGTGGCACTAAAATCTTCAAAACTGCTTTATAAAAACTGGAAAATACACAGTAAAGGACAAATCTTATACTGGCGAGGGGAGCACCTGCATGAATATGCTCATGAACTTTCAGCTTTTTTTTTTCTGTAACATAGACTTGAACTTATACATACACATTTTCAGCTTTGGGAATCTCATGCTGAGTATGCAAAGCCAGTATTGGTGAATAAATGCCAGACCTCTGGCTGCCTGGGCTGCGCTTGGACCTCTGTGCAGTACTATTAACATCAGGTGGAGAAACTTACTTTTCTGTTGCCTTGTATTCTCTTTATTTATTTATTTTTTCTTTGTCCATGGACTGCAGGTTGTTTTGAATAAGGAGCTGTTGTCCTATATGCCTGTAAAGTTCCCGACACATTTCCTAATGATATTCCTCTATTACTATGGTTACTATTATTACAGTTTTCCTCTGCCTCTCTTTTCTAATATTTCTGTCTGTCAGTGTGGGCAGCTGTTGTTGGCACGTTCAATTTTATACACTCTCACATCTCTCTTGGAAACTAAAGTTTGATGAGCGTTAGAAGCAGAATTCATCTGTAAATGACAGTCCTCAGGGCCAGACAAACAACACGTTGTAAATATTTAAAGTAAAAGTACAAGTGTGAAAGACGTACCACTTGATCGGTCTTTGCCGTAAATGTTTTGTTGTTCTATTGGCTCTGACGCCAGACTTGCATTCTTTAATTCTTTTCAAATTTAAAGTGAAATCAGTGAAGGATCAAGGAGTGAAATCCACAGTTTGAAATTAAATTAGCTACCTGGCAGTGTAGGCTCTTGTAGCATTCCCGTCTGCAAACAGCGGAGCTAATAGCGCCTCACATTAGCGTTACCCAGCTGTAGAAGACGTACCCATTGGCATCGTCTGTGCACTGTCCCCCGTTGAGGCACGGCCAGCTGACACACTCATCGATGTTGGTTTCGCAGAGGTCTCCAAGGAAGCCCGGCGCGCAGGAGCAGGCGAAGCTCCCCAGGGAATCCCGGCAGGTTGCGCCGTTCAGGCACGGCTGTGATGAGCACTCATCTATTTCCAGCTCACAGTTTGTACCTTCAAAAGCAAACCCCAAACTTAGAAGTACAATATTCACCTAATCTTTTTTTTTTTTTAAGTATTTTTAAAAGGAATTTCCTCCTCAATGTTCATTGCAAGACTAGATCTTTCAAGGCTTGGGAGAATTTACAAAAGAACAAACTAGCTATTATTCACAAGAATAGGTAGAATAACTTTTTATATTAGTTTGAATATGGAAACAGAACGAACTAATTTTCAGATTATTGAAACCATGCTACTATCATATTTATATAATACAGAAGTGACTAGTGATTTAATGACCTCAGAAAAGTCCATTTAAAGCTGCACATTTAATTGAATTCATTGGAAAGCTGACTGTTTAGCTGTGGTTTATTGCTTAATTTTTTTTAAGATTTAGCAATGTATAAATAAATTGGTCTATGATGCCATGTTTGCAACAGATCAGAATCTTGGAGCTGCTCTTCAGAGATAATTGATGGAACTAAATCAGTACTAATATTAGTTTACAGCTATTTATGATAGTTGGCAGGTTAAATGAACACTCCTTTTTCTTATCTCTAGCACAGCCCAGGAGATACTAAGAAATTTTCGTAACTAATGCCTTGCAGCTCCTGCTTTGATTATTTCAGGGTTTTATATGCTTACGTACTTATTTAGTATTTTAAGTAATAAAGAGTGTTTGGGTTTTTTTTAAAATAATTTTCACCTGCCAGGTCAATTAGTTTTAACAGCTACAGTATCAGCAACAAAACAGATGCAAAATGGCAGATTGTAATGAAGACTTCCCTATCTTTTGTTTGGCTTACCAAAGTAGCAGTAGTATTGTAAATAGTTTTCAGAGGAATTTCCTACTTGAAAGAGAATTTGCAGCCGTGAGAACGGGTTTCATTTTTTTGGAGAGGTGAAGTTTTCAGTACAAGATGATGGGGCAGGCTTTCAAAAGATGGGAACAGACACGTTTTGATGATGGGTATTGTCTTAGCAATTTATTTAGGAGCTCATTTTAATTCTTTCTTTATGCTGTTTTTGCCATCTCTGTCCTGCTGTGAAATCTGTACATTTTAAGAATATTTTTCTCAAAACACTGAGATTGCTAATATTTAGCACTGTTACTAATTTATTACTGATTACTAATTTATTTTGACCATTTTGAATGTAGAATCTTTAAAAAAAAAAAAAATCAATATTCTAGATAAATACCTGGAAATATCTTAAAATATCAAAACAAAATTTGAGGATGTTAGCTCATAGCTATTTTTCATTGTATTTAAACACAAAAGTGCAAATTCATCTTTTAGTAGTTATGAAATATTATTGTAATTTTAAAGAGTATATTTTTATCATTTCTTGAGACTGCATATAGAACACTGGATGGGTGAAGTCGCCAGTCCCCTGCCTCCAGTTGAAGGTTCACTGATTCAGCTAGCCACTACTTTCAGCGGGAGCCTGCCACGAGACCCTAGCATAGGAATGCTCCCTTATGGCTTTATGGTAATGTACATTACATCCAGATATAGTGAGCAATCCCTCTGTGGTCATTGCCCTGTGAATTCACTGTAATTGTAAACAATGTGTTTGCAGAAGTATGTCTAGTGACCGTAAATCTGCCAGAGCTTGTTAACAGCTTACTGCGAACATGAAAAATCATGTGACAAAACAAGCCCTGTTCAACTGATTCTCAGTTCAGCCAAATTTAAAACTGCAGGCCTGAGAACAGTCTGACGATTAACATGAGAACACAGCGTTGTTGTTTTGGTTCATGTCTTTAATCTATCAAGCCCAGTAACCTGCCTTCGGCAATGTTGCCTCAGAAGAAAACTTCTCTCGGTATAGTGCATCCAGCCAATGCGATGTGCCATGCAAACGGGAGGAATTCCTTCCTAGCCTCTACTGAATCTCCTGTCAGGCTTTCTTGTATGTGAAGAAGAGAGATGAAAAGATTAGATTTGCATTTGCACCTCAGTCTAACATTCTGTCATAAATATGCTGTATGCCAAATATCATATGCCAGAACGTAAAAAAAGCACCAACAAGCCCTGCCATGGTTATTGCATGGGGCTACAGCATTAAGAGCAAAGGTGTCCTGTCCTAGAGCAGGCAGAGTGTTTCAGCAGATACCGAACTGCACAAGTGGTTTGAATTGAAAGACTGGGCAGGTGGATGTAAGTGATATTTATAACTTTTGCCGTTTCTTTGAAGAACTAAGATTATTTCTAATACTGCTTGCTTTTTAAATGAGTCCTACTGTGCACTTCTTTGTACAGCCCCAGTCAATAAAAAGTAAATGCAGGCGAGGATGAAAGAGATGCAGCCAACGTTTTCAGACTTGCCTGCCTACAGATATATTGTAAAGTCACCTTCTGGTCAAAGATGCTAGAGGTTTGCAGGCTCAGTGTAGTTCCAGGTGGACCTGCATGTTCTTAGTATGGCCGGAAATAGGTATCCAGGTCACCCCTTCCGCTCTCCTGCACTGTAGTGCTTGCTGTGCTCGGGCACGGCAGGTACAGAAGACTGTCTCAAAATTCCTCAATCTGTATATAGTAATCTTATGTGCCGTCATCTGGATGGAGAGTGTCAGATGGCTATTTTCGAGGCACCAGCTTTGAAAGGGCAGGAAGAGAGTTCATCAAAAACTAGGTAGAGGGAAGAGTTCAGTTTCTTGGAGCAAAGCTTGCCCTTTTTGCAATATATAAATTTGCAATTTGTCTGAACAAACCACCAGTTACCTGCGTGCATGTGCAGACATAAGACGTTACAGGTCTTACAACACTGCACTAACCAGACGCAATTGGAGGAGAACAGTGGGGCTAAACCCGATCAAGCGTTTCAGCTGTGGGAAGTTATAAACTGTGACAAGCACTCTTTGGATATATGTGCCCTCTGCTAATCTTTATTTTGAAAACCCTTTGAAATGTGGCCAGTACTGCTGGGACCCTCTCACATCACAGTCTTGTGGTTAGGAGTCTCAGCAGCAAGCTGATAACCTGGGCCAAATCCTCTGCTCAGGCTGGCTAGGGCGTGAGGTGGGGAGCGCTGGTTTGAAATTTTAAAGGTGGGGAAGAAAACAGACCTTCCACTTTGTTGGCAATTGCTGTTGGATGGACAATGTTATTTGCCATCGATATCTGCAGTGATACTACCATGACCTTGTTGGGAAGTGAGATCTGTACTTGAGGTACTTCATCCCATGGTAGAGGCTGCATGAGAACTTAAAGATCCGTGTGGAATAATTTCTTCATATTGTACAGAGTTCATCCCAGCTACAGTTACATCATAGTAAAAGGTTTTGCACCAAGGATGAATCTAGCCCACTGTACCGATCACATCTGTCAGTGAAACACTTTCTCCTGCGCTTGTCTTGGGCTAAGACTGGCTTTTGCAACTGCCGTGCACCCCTGATAGTTCACACTAAAATGTTCACTGGCAATAGAGGACTGGCTTCAGCTGTGTCCAGCAAGGTAATTGATGTACCTTGCTGTGGGTAATAACAGGCTTTTACACCATGCTCTGTTGGGGTGAATTAAAAGCAAGTGCAATTAGTGCAATGGAGGAAAAAACGCATTTGATTAAGGTAGCCAGCAAAACTTCAACAAACCAATTGAGCTTCATTATTTAACAGCTGCGTGACACATGTCTTGTAAATAATTTCACACATGCAGAGCATTATCATAGAAACTGCGGATTTCATGCTAAATTTTCCACCCTTTGGCTCTTGGTGCATTCTAACCTCTTCCATTTGTGTAAGAATTATGTGTGACATTTCTCAGCTATTTTAAGAAGTGCTGCGGCATACCAATCATACAAAATAGCAGTCATAGTCCATGAAACAAGTAGCAACCGCAGCCAGTAACTCAAGCATTTGGTTAACATTACTGCTGTAGATTCTGTACATTCTCTACCTACATATCAAGAGATATAACCTTTTTAACATCTTAGGGAAATGAGATGAGGCTGGATGACTTCCCACAGTAATTCATGGTGTCAGGCCAAAATAATAACAGTTGGCAAGACCCCCTGACAGAGTAAATGAGGGTTTTTATTACCAGTGGGGACACCTCAGGGCTTTCATCCAGTAATCCCTCTGGCTTGTGCATTTAGTGCAACTCACAGCAAGGTGCAGAAAACAACAAAAAAGAATGCTTCTGATAAATCGTTTTGTTAAGTAGCCTTTAAAAGCTGGTGTTTTACTGCTGAAGGAACAGTCCGCTACTACTTTATAGAATTATTACGATTAGTCTCTTTGCTGCTGGAAGCAGCGTCGGAGCTGCATGTCAAAATACTGCAGCCTCTTCTGCTTTGTATTTTAGCCCTCTTCGCCTTCCTTGGCTCTCTCCTCATTTCTTAACTCTGCTTGTGCGGAGTATGGAGCACTCAGTGACATTGCTTGATTTTTAGTGAGAGCAGAGAGCATCAGCCTGGGAAACAGCAGAATTTCGTAATGAAAGTGGAGCGACTCCAGCAGAGTGAGTTTCCTCCAACAGTTTGATCTAAATCTTCATTTCTTTTTGTTTGGGCTTTACTATTTTCTTATGTTTTCTCTCTCTTTGTCTCTAAGGTGTATATTCTGCCCTTTCAAACTGAGTTCCCAGGCTATAGATCCAGGCCTGGACCCCACTAACAGTGCCAGTTAAACAAATACAGTTTCCTGAATACAACAGGAGGTCTGGGTTGAGTCTGATCATTGCGGAGTAACCATGCTGGTTGTTAATAGGTTTTTCCTTCCTTCTGCTCTTGGGCTTTCCCCTGGTTGTGTAGTTTTCTCCTCAGCTGGCCTGGGCTCGGACACCTGCTGGCAGCAGCAGGGTGGCGGGAAGGTAACAAGCTTCCTTCAAATAACATTCTCCGTGCTCATGAGGGATATTAACCGAGGGCTGACTTCCAACGAGTGCCGTGTCAGACACGGGAAAGCTGCTTTTTACCTCTGACTTCCCCTCCTGCCTGGGGATTCGGGGATAGAGCTGTAAACCACATCTCTCATTTCTTATTCATTTGAATCACTTGAAGCAATAGCTGATTTCCCCCCCCGCCTTTTGCTGTATGATTCTTTTTTTTCTTTGCTTACCTGACTGGCAATCTATCAGTAAAATGCCTCCCCTTTTCTCCTTTTAATGATTCAGTGTGCTGCCTCTTGCAGTCCTACCCCTGAATACAGCTTTGAAATTTGAAGGGAGCTGTCTCCCGCAAGGACTATATGCTCTACGGTAGAGGAATTAGGCAAGAAAAATCACGCTCATACCTTAAAAATGGAGCCACATAACATGGGATTATCAAAAAATGGGAGTTTGGGAACCTGATAATACTTTTCTTTCTATTTAGTTGCAAATGACTCCTCCGTTTCTGGGAAGGGCAGAGGAGAGGAAGTTAATGTGAAATGTCTAGGTTTAAGAGTACAGTTGTCGTGATTAGCAAATCAAGCAAGTCTAATTAGATCTAATTTTTAACCCTGTCAAACATAGGTTTTGTCTGAGGACCGAAAACTATGTATAGCACTCTGACGATACGCATTTTGAGAATGTTTCTTTTAAAAGGAAAGTTAACCTAGCCATGTGACATAGCTTGATGTTCATGAAACTGCTCTGTAGTTTTTGGTAAATGTGAGATTTCTTTAATCCTTCTCTATCTGATATCAGTAGTTCACAGTGATAAGGTAACCCATAATGTACCAACAGCCATTGGTGCCAAAGCTGAAGGCAGGGTGGTAATACAGACATGACTGAGTAAGTGTGTGGGTGGGGGAGTTGAACTTGGAACATGAATTATGATGGTTCTCCACAACACAAAGAAAAAGTTGTTTTAATAGTGCTTACCTGTGTACCCGAGTGGACAGATGCAGTCATACTGTCCTATCTGGTTGAGACACGTTGCCCCATTCAGGCACGGATCTGACACACATTCATTCACTTCCAGGTCACAGTGCTTGCCTTGGTAGCCTGGGACGCAGTAGCAGGAGTATTCATCAACCCCATCCCTGCATACTGCTCCATTGTGGCACGGTTCAGAAATGCATTCATCAAAATCCATTTCACAGAGTGTACCAGTGTATCCTGCACTACAAAGGCAGGTGGGCCCAGCCAGGCCATTTTGGCAGGTGCCTCCATGTTCACAAGGGTTTGTGTCACACATGCTGACGGCTGTTTCACAGGTAGGTCCATTATACCCAGCAGGGCACTCGCAAGTAAAGCTGAGGTTTCCAGCAGAGCTTAAACAGGTAGCGTTTTGAAGACAAGGGTTTGAGGAGCAAGGATCAGAGGTTTTATTGCAGAGTTCCTCCACGCTGTCCTCTGATATGTCTGCACAATGGCAAGTATCGTCTTTACGACCAGCAACGCATGTAGAGTTCTTTTGGCAAGAGGTTGACAGGCACCTGGAATCATTCCTCATGCAAAGTGACTCTAGAAAGAAAACGCAAAAAATCCAGAGGACTTCTACAGCACTGGGAGTAAACAAGAGTGAAAGAAGTGCAACTCTTAACACAACTGTGTTTCAAAACCAACACCTCCAATTGTTGGCTTCTTGGGAAGAAAACTGGGCTGGTTACTGTGTGACACGTATCACTAGACTAATAAATGTAAAATGAAAACAATTATGAAAATATGAGTAGGTTGTAATTTCCTGTTCTTGCCTCTTTCAACAACCATGGCCTGGAGTGTCAGGATTGCTTAACACTATATTAAGAGTAGAGTTGCAACGATATTGGTGGTTGTCAACAGATATCCAACAATATGGAGTGCATTTAGGTATATTTAAGACAATTTTTTTTTTTTTATTAGAAAAAGGAGTTGAACCACATTTCAATACCACTTTCAATACCACTTTGTATTCTTTTGTGGTGTAAGTTTTTTGTATTGGATTTCAACAAAGCTAAATGACTTGGCTGTAGTTATAGCTCAAGTAAGTAGTTCAAACCATCATGCACTTTGATTTTAGCTTCCTGATTATAAATAGTCCTTTGACAGCTGTACAGCATTTCCACCATAAAGAATCTCCCAAACACTGAGATTCAAAATAGCCCTCTGAGAGCCTTCCAGCCTCTGAGGCTGAAAGGACACAGTGTAAACATGTTCCTTAGCCTCCAGGAACTGAGCTCCTGGCAGTAATTAAAGGCCACTTGGAGTTGCCTTGCTGCTGTAAAGACTGGGTGACAATAACAGTAGCTACTTCTCACTTCTCAATCAAGGAGGAGCGAGCTGTTACCAGCATTGTTCATAACCCACCACTGAGAAATACTTACAGAGTTAAAGCAGTGAAAGTAGTGAAGGATGTTCTTTCTAGTAAAAGAAAACAAGAATTTTGCCATGAAAATGTGTAATTTTTTAAATCACGATTAATTGTCTCCATAACAAAATAGGTGGCTGTATTTAGATAAGCATAGCATACATATGTAGCTATATACCTGGTGCCTTAAATTCAGTTAGGCATACTAAGCAACAGCAGCAAGGTGCCAAATACTGAGTGCCTGAGATAGGTGTGTTGACCTGGGCTGAATCCTCTGCAATCACAGCTTCACTGCCAACAATATCAAGTGACCTGGTCTGAAGCTTGTGTACATTTATGTGTGCTATAATCAGGTCCCCCACATGCAGCACAGACATAGGTGAAGAGTGCAATGGGGTTCTATTGATCACTAAATTAATCTCGTAATATCATGTTGCTTCTGTCACGACTTGTCATTGTTTTGTTATGGGTCAGTGGAAACGGTGTTAATCAACAGCACACATCCTGCAGCATTTCGGAATTTTGTTACTTACATATAAATTGACTCAAGGCTGTAGAGATGGTGAGACCCAACTGGGATGATTGCAAATGGGGTGTTTGCTCTAGACCTCTATCTTGGTCTAAAGGTCAAGCTTTTGAATGTTGAGGAGAGGCTAGTGGAAGAAATCCTGGAGTTGCATCCAAATACTGTGCTAGTAAAATGAAACAATGGCAGATCAAACGCGTAGAGAATGATATTGGAGAGAAGAAAGGCAAGTAGTTACTGACATAAACTACCTAAAAGACAGGGCCCATATAAATACTGACCTAAAAAGCCAAATGTAAGTATAGTATTTTAATTCCTACTTATCAAATTGGAAAATCTGATCTGGAGTATAAGAAGAAGATTCTATCCAGCACAATTTTTTCTTTTGCACTGATTTTCACCATGTTATAAGAAATCCTCTACTGTAGAGTGAACATCTGAATACCATCAGACTTCTAATGTGATTACAGTGTGACATTCCTCAAAATATGAGGGTAAAACTGTAAACAAATATTTTGCATGTTGCTAGAAGAAAAAAAATCATTTGTATTGTGGGAGGGAAAAACAGCAGTCATATCTTGGCCAAGAATCTATGAAATAAAGCTGAATGTTCCTTTTGGAAAGAAGGTAGTGATTCAGAAGGGAAAGACTAGTTGGCTGGACAATGAAAGTTGCATTAAACAATCTGTATGAGAGTCCTGTAAACATCCTATTTTCTTCTTTCAGTTTATACTTTTATTCTGGAGTCTTGTTTGGAAATACGAAGGGTATGTGTCTTCCACATCAGTTACTTGAAAATGAATGGCAAAACAGCGTATGTTTGCACAAACAGGGTGTTATGGATGAGCTGAGCTTCTTGGAGAAATTCAGACCCATCTACCACCAGTCTCTAATTTCTTCCTGGTTCTTGGAACTGAGATTCAGGAGGGTGGACACAACAGAGAAGGAGATAGGGGATTGAAAGAGAAGCAGCATGTAGAGATACTTATCAATAACTGGGGCTAGACCAACGGTGATAAAGTCCTGGGACAGATCCTTGGCTGGCTGGGAAAGTGAGGGCCGAGGGTTGGTCACCTGAGGATAACAAACAACCACTGGGGATTGTCAGAGAATACAAACTGACTGATGAGGATGCATTTTCATAATGTGTATTTTAATACAGAATATAATTTAATCTGTTTTTTCCCAGGAAGGCTAAGTGGAGGAAGAAAGCCTCAGAAGGCTTTACCAGCTTGGGAAAGACAGTTTATGTAGATATGACTATGATAATAAATGGGGACGTTGGAAAAGTTTTCTGTGCTTTATTGTTGTGCCTTCTGACTTGAGGTGTACACAGAAGCAGCAGTGCCTCTCAGAAGCTGAATGAACTTGATGCTTATAAACAGGTACATTCACTGAGTCAAAGACCTAATTAATACTTGTTTGAATGAGCATGATAGAGATTTAACATTGTAACATTGATAGTAACGTTGTGATTTAAAACAAACTAACAGTGGTCTTAAGGATCACATAGAAATAGTTTCTTGATTGTTTCTTTTGGGGTGTTGCATGTGTAAGTAAAACCTGAGAAATGTTTTTATTTGAACTATTTTTAGCTGTTGTCATACTCATATATACCAGAGATGCAGAGGAGAAATAGCTAGAAAAGGTATGGTCTTTTCTCGGTAAAGATTATCTTTATTTAATGCAGGCTAAGACAGACCTGATTAAGAAAGCAAGCTAAACATTGATTAGCAGGAAGAGAACTGGAGCTTTATCTCTTGTTCTTTGAAGGAAAACAGGACAAAAATACTACTTCTGATTTAGCCTGCCTTTAAAATGACCATCCCCAAACCTGTTAACATTCAGTTTTGCACTGGGAGCATATATTTCATCCTAATGCGGTGTCAGCTGTACTTCCCCCAGCTCACAGCTCTCACTGAATGTAAAATTCAAGACATTGGCCATGGTATACTGACTTGCTCCACAGTCAGCAGTATCACGGACCTTTCTGCTCCTCAACACACCCTCATGTATGTTCTGATGTCCTAGTTTACATAATTTTGTATATTACCCATGTATTTAGTTTCTTTTCTTTAGCCTGGATAATAAAGAGCTTACTGCAATCTATTAATAGCAGTTAAAATGAGAAAAACTGCGTTCCTTAGGAACTTCTGCATCCCACATTTTTCTTGGGATTGCACAACTTTAAAGAACTTTCCATCTCTCTACCTACTTAAAATTCATTAAAAGTACAGGTTTGAAGAAGCATTGCAAATCTGAAGAAATTAACTATGATTAAGTTATAACGTTACCTAACTATTGTACTGTGTAAACTACAAGAGGTGAGGTCAATCATTCAAGTGCTTCTTAAGCAGGACACTGTGACATGAGAAGCAATTTAGTTAATTATTACTGCTTTTCCAGAGATAATTTGCATGCAACAACTCAATTTGTTGTAATGACTTTGTGTGAGAGAAATTGAAGCATTTGCCAGTCTGCAGTTTTGATAACATACTAGCTTTGAGCACTGGTTAAAAAGCTTTATAGCTCTTTGAGGCAGTAATAGCGGATGGAAAATGAGAGAAGAGGAAAGAAAGCCCTAAAAGCACAGTCGGTAGTGAAGGCAACCAATTT